ATGTTATATTTTCTTAAATATTATAAAATATAATTTATGTATATACAGCATATATTTATATAATAAATGTTATTATCAAATATATATATAATATAAATATTATATATATAATGTTTGTAGTTTTAATTTTATAAATACATGTTATATTTTCTTAAATATTATAAAATATAATTATATATATATATATTCATTGTTGTATTATCTTTTATATATAATATGAATATTAAAGTAATATATATTAAATATTTTAATGTATTATGTTATTGTATGTTATATTATAAGTGTGTATTATACTGTATTATTATGTACAATATAAATATTACAATAAATAGTATCTAATATATGTATATATGTATAATGGTGAACCAATGGTGAAATGTAAGACTTTTGCACACCATATAACCATGTCTAACAAGAGAGCTCATGTGCTTTGTGTAGCTCTAATTGACTACTTTATGGGAAAATTGGTTGCTAAATACATGATATAAATAGAAAATCAATGCATGTTACTCATTTGAAAAGTTATCTTGGTATATACGGTGTGGAAAGAAAGTAATTCATTACTTATTTCTTACTGAGGAGTTGCAGTGCATGTGAAAGTATCGACGCTATTGTTGAGCTGACGCTGTGCTGAAAGGAATCTGCCATTGCAGTCGAGTCTCGGGGTTCTGTGAGAGTTTTGGGGGTTCGCCGGGGGGAGCTGAAGAAGAGGTCCTTGGCAGGTCAGAGGTCACTGACTCTTTCATCCATCTCTGACGCTCGGCTGACAGCTGGAGAGGAGAAATTTATTAAGACATCAAAACTCTTGACAGCTGGGCTTCCACGGGATGCCATGGAGACACAGGAGCTGTGATCCCGGCTACTGTTCTCTATAAGGGCCCGATGGGGGACAGCAAGAGAGAAGCTGCTGTTTGTTCTGTGTGGTTTAGAGCCGCCTGCTGCTTGTGCACCCACAGGACAGATAGATCTTTACAATCTCATTCAATTTTTCTAGACAGAAATAATATTAAATGGAGAACAAATTGAGAGTTTTGCTTATTTCTTCTGATTAATCTCACATGTGTCTTCTTTAGAGTTTCAAAAGAAATAGTAGACCCCAAATTAGATTCTTAAATGCAATGATAAATTATAAAACAATGCAATTATTTTTTTGATAAATAATGCAGTATTTTTTTGTTTTCTTTTGGCTCAGAGGTGAACGGTTGGCCTGCAAATTTGATCTCTTTAAAATCTCAGTTGTTGTCTCCTGTCAGCACACCTTTTCCCCAAAAGGAATTTAGGGCTGCACGATTATGACAAAAATCACAATTGTCGATTATTCCCTTGAAATTGTAATTGCGATTATTAATTACGATTATCACAATTTACATTGAATGATGTTTATACCATTGTCTGATGCAACTGCATGGTGTATTTTTATATAAAAATAAACAAGCTGAAAGCACTCTAACTGAAAAACTTTTAGTGCTTTTCTATAGTATTAAGCCTCAAATGTCAAATATACATTGGATTGGTTTCTTCTTTAAATGATAAAAAAGTACAAATATGAATGGTATTATAATGTTATACTAAAACTAAAACAATGGAAAAACCCTTAAGATAACATGTAGAAAGAAAAAAACATATTATAAGCGTGCAGAATAACATAAGTGGACTTTGAACGATTACGTAATTGTGGCATCCATAACTGTAATTGCGATTATAGAAATTCGATTAATTGTGCAGCCC